AGTTTACTATGGGACAGGGAGCTCGTAGGTACGGCTTGAGACGTCAAATGTTGTTCGCCACTCATTGAATCCATGCAGTCCTCCAGTATGCGCCACAGTTTGTCCTTATATGTGTCCAGCTTCATTATTGCCTCGTGCGCTGATTCCACATACTTGTCGAACTGTGAGTCATCTTCGGCTGAGCGATCTTCAAGGGCTTCCACAGCTTCCGCAAGTTTTCGCAGTGATGATTCCAGAGCCCCAGTGTTTTCGTCGCACAGTTTTAGTGCAGAGCGGACATCCTTGGCTAGTATCCGTTTCTCGGTCTCCGTAGGTGGTATGAGAAGGTCCTCGTTGGTATCAAGCCATTCCCCTATTGCCTTGATTCGTTTAGTTACCAGAGACTTACTGGTTCGGACTAGTGAGGTCATACTACTTCTCAACTGACTCAGTACGTAAGCCTGATAACAAAGGTGCTCTGCAGAAAAATCGGCAAGAAAAAGTGCTCGTGCTCAGCCAATCTCCACGATAAGGCAGATAAAAGAATAGGAGGACGAATAGAATAGTTATGAATGCCGTACCTGTCGTCCGGGCAGTGATCCTTTGATGCACCAATAAATGGGGTCGTATACGAGTATAGTAGAAAACAATACTGTGCCACGCGGGACTTTCCCGTACAAGACCTCAAACTTGGGTAATTAAACATTTATCACTAATTCTGCAAGTAAGAGACAGTAACAGAAAGAAATTTCACAATATGAGCTGAATATCAAACTAGCCTACTCCTTAAGATCAGCTGAGGCTGAGGACAGCTCCCTAAGACTACCAAGTTATAGTGCTCGTGCCGAATCCTACAAAAATATGAAAGGTCGTGTTTCTAAGGCATATGCACAAGAAGCGAACAAGAATAAAACATATCAGAAACTAGAAAGAAAAGTTGAGAAAAATGTGACTGAGGCGACGATTACATGCCGCTTAAGAAGGCTCGATATCAGATAACAATGGGAAAAGCGTTACGTAGGTAACAACATCGATCAACATTCCGAATGTTTACATTTTTGTAAAGGCATCTGGGAAAGGCTGTGAGAAATACTGAGAATATCCTTAGGAAATACTGAACTAGAGTTCAGTATACTCCTCCTGTGAAAAGTCTCGGACTTTTTCAAGACGTGGCGAACAGTTTTTTTTCGATAGAGCTCTTCTTCATCCCATATCTTGCAGTTTGCTTGACATTGATCACATGATTACTGCGGCCCAAATCCCTTGATTTTGACTTCGACAGTCTTGGATTGCCAGAGTGACCTTTAAAAGGAAACTGAAAAAACTCATTCTTTCAAGTTAGTTTTTGTTGTTTGCATGCAGTTGGCAATGGTGGTGACCACATTTTCTTTTTGGGAACAATTCCGAAAAGTAAGGCGGAATTATGTTAGTTATGGGTGAAAATATCATTATATGGAGCAGTGTATTTACGAAACGTAAGATCAAAGGTAGGCAAGTACAGCCGGGGAGACTTCTCGAATCTACTGTTATCACAACTTTCAACTCTGGGTTACTGTTTCCATCTGAAGAATTCAAAAGAGGAAAACAGCCCAAAGGGAAATGAGCATCCGTGATCGACTAATGAATCTTGGCATCATGTGAGATCCTCCTGACTAGATGTTTAGAACACAACCAAGATATTAACACATATTTGGCTGACGTTTCGGCCTAGTCGCCTTCGTCGGAGCCTGGAAAGTCAGAGATAAGGTGACCTAATCCTGAATGCCATTTCAGACATAACAGCAGTTCACCATAAACTGAAGGCGTTTAGGGAGGTCTCGCAGCTCACAAAAACAAAACAGCTGACCTTAGAAGAGTGCTCAGCGGGTGGCTACAATTGACCCACTTCGGTTCGAAGCCGATGGCAATCGAAACCCACACAGGTCAGCGAAGGGGGCTGATTCACTTGTGATTGCCAGACATTCATTATCTTGTTCAATTCGGGGTTTCTGGCGCGTATGCGGAACGCCGCCAACGTTTTGCGAGCTGAAGTGTGGGCTCTCACCTCGTGATCCTCACAAAGATCTCGAGGCGGAAGCCCACACTTCAGCTCGCAAAACATATCGAAGCTCCGCACCTCCGCGCCCACAGGATCGGTGCTCAAGTAGATCACACCCGAAATGTAGTCACCCTGCTCCCCATGAGGGCAGATAACACAGCCGTGGCAAGGCGATACCGATCGTACCTGCGATTGTGACCAATTGCTGGTTAAGGTTCGTGGGAGGGACCTCGACCGCCCGGACCATGGCGTCGAGGCCGAAGGTGCGTAAGGCCGTTCCTACGGCGGCGCAGATACCATCACTGACGAAGGGCAAGCAAAAGGGCATCTTATAGGAATCCTCGATAGCAGCCCTAGGTTGTCTCCCACCGGATGGTCCGAAGATGGGCCTTCTCTTAGAGGGTAACCATCAGAGAGAGGTATCTTCTGAGCGAGCTCCGGAGACCCCGATTGTTCATGCTCACCCAAGGACCACTTTCGGAGACCACTTTCACTGTCCTGTACATGTTCCTGCGGTTCCTGCTGCTGCTTTGTCCTCTACGGGTGCGCTGACAGGAAATTTACCAAGTTATACTTGCTATTCCTTGGTATTGCCGCATTCCAACTGAAGCACGGTAGCAAAAGTAAAGCGCTCACCTTTCCGATACGCTCAATATTCCGTTCCACCAAAACTCAGGCGCGTTCTTCCTTTTAAGGCACTAAATAAAGCTGTGGAGGGGTAGATTGTAGCTACTGCACTCGAAAATTCGTCAGCTGAGCTTCTTGTGAGAGAGAGAAACTGAGAAAATTTTCTAGAACCGCTCTCTTATGCTGGTAGCAGTTTCTGTAGGCATCGCACAAAGCAACACGATCACCAAGAACCCCCATCGTTAATCATCACGGTACTACACCCTCAGTAGAGAGCACAATGGAAGGAGAAATACTGGAGGACCTGGAAATCAAAAGGTACTACCCGGAATATCAACAGGGACGAACTACGAGACATTGTACAAGCCATCGTATGACCGTGTCACAAACTATCTCACTATTCAAGGGCAAGGGTATGGTCGCAGTGGATTAGCTATTCCGTAGCTGCAGGGTAAGCAAACTCGTTGGAGGAGCAGTCTGTGACTGAAATGGACAACGAGCTAAAATTTTCTGTCGAATTTGCTACTCAGTGGAACGTTGCCATTGCTAATATACAGGAGGGGGTCCCTAATAAAAAAAGACACTTTTGTTCCTTGACTTTTGAGGGCTATAAGTTACACTTTATTGCATTCTGGTCGGACCTTTTTACTACCATATTTAAGAGCATATTGAATACAATCATGATACTTAGCCACAGCCTTCTGGACCAAAGCCATCGAGAGATTCCACGCAACCATGGTTCGGTGATTGAGCTCAGCGAAGTCGTTGATTTCTCCGCCACTGTAGACCTATTGAACTCCGCCCGAACCAGCTAATTGATGGGGTTCAGATCAGGTGACCCGCTCAAATATTCCATCCTCTTTAGGAACTCAACGCCCTCCCATTCTCTTTCCAACGCGTTTCAATTTTATGTGGTGTCACCCAATCCTGTAATAGTGCAAACTTTCGAAGAAGGTACGGGCGACGACATGTGGGGAAGAGGGGAAAATGTTCTTCTCGAAATGCTCGATGTAAACGCCAGCGCTCACCTTCAGTCCGGGGTTTACAATATCGGTCTTTCCATTCCAGGTACGTCCGGTCCATACCATCAGCTCGCACCTTGGCGACTGTGGTGGAGTTGATGTCCTGGGCCGTAGCTACGTTGCCGGAGCTGCTCGATGTTGGGGGTTTTCAGAACAAGAGCACTGGTCTCCTGGTAGTTATCTGTGGGTGGCTCCACACTAGAACTTTCGTAGCTGTTCAGAGGTGACATGAATTTCAAAGGTCTTCTCCAGTCAGGCTGCGACTGGAGATGACTTCATAGTTTGGTGTACATGAAGGTGATGGGCGAGCGCCCGCTCCTGCTTATAGAGGAACATCCTGGATATCTCCCGCCCTGGTGCTCGTATCCACGTCATCTGTCTGTGCTGCGAAAATTTTGCTAATATGTTACTCGGTCGAAGTGTCTTTTTTAGTGCCCCCCCACCCTGTATATTCCGGAAAACGTTCGAGACTTTTGATGTCGTTTGAGTTTGCTGAAATAAAAACTTATGGTTTCTCACTGATGCTACAGATTCGATAATCGCTGAAAACCCCAGGCCGATCTTGACTTCAGCGTACTCTTCTTCGTGGAATGCAGCACTACAATCTCGATTTCATGGTCGCTGGGCTGAACTTCTGAGGAGCGCTGGTTTTTTCTGTGGGAGAACGGCTAATGCGCCCTTTATGTTATATCGATGTCAAATTTGACTTGAGCCGAGCTAATGAAGGAAGGACTCTAACTAATGAAGGAGCTGCATGAGAGTACGCGCTACGTTACCGACCAGCCCACTAATTGCCTTAAAAGTCGAAAGTCACAACCTGAAGTAAATTTTGGGTCAACATGTCTATATGAATTCGAGTTGAGGGATTACGGAAGTGTAAGATAGATTGTGGGAACTTGTGGATAGATTCACAGGCCGCTCTTCAAACAATGCAGCCCCGGAGAGGAGAGCCGGAGCGAAAGTAGTCACTTGAAGACACATGGCACGATCACACAGTAGTTTGGGTTTGCGTGACTGTCAGCACCCCCCCCCCCCCCCCAGCTGTCAAAGCGTAGCTGTTTTCCCGGCTTAACATGCGCAGCAATGCAGATACAGAACCGTGAAACCTCCCATTCATGGTAACACCGTCGTGTGCACGCGTGCAGCTTTCTTGGCTCCCGTCGTGTGAACGCGTGCAGCTTTCTTGGGCCAGAACTTAAAAGCAACTGTGCTGCTTTGGCAACATCCCTCAGAGGCCGCAATTCCCACAAAACATGGCAATAAAAACGGCGCAAACGTTCCACTGGTTAGAAATTTGACTTGGTGTCATAACTAAGGGCTACTGGAACCCAACAATGGTATTGAAGGAAACAATGGAGCTGTTTGAAACCGCTCTGGAAACGGTGAATCCTTCTCTGCATCTACCGCTGAAGAACGACTACATTGCTACAAAATTCGACCTCAAACCACGAGAAACAACTAAATGGTGAGTATCTGACACGGCCTTTTTTCTGTTTCCTGAAGCTGCAGTCTTCACGCTGCAGACGAGACGCGTCAGAATCGCTGGTTACTTGGTGCAGCGCAAACCCGCTTCCCACAGAAATGATAACAATTGGTGGCAAAGGTGTTGGCGTTCCGAAATCAGTTAAATGAGCCGGCATGTCATCGGCTCATACACCAGCTAAGAAGATATTTAAGAGCTAACCATGAGAAGAATGAAGCTTAGAGGAATGCAGCGGAATCGGATGTACCACTGTGGTTTTCTACATATGCGTCCGTGCTTATATTTCCTTAAATTAAGTGGCGCACCACTGAGTAGGAAGCGATTCTAGCAGGAGCTTCGTTCCAACTGACTGCATGGAATGAGGCATTGAAGAGAAATAAACATTATTGAAGAGAAATGCTACTGATAGGGAACATCCTCGCGTCATACAAGACGATGCATGGTGTAGAATTTGGTTCAAGCAAGACGACGAGTATGATCTCCCGAAGGCCGTGACTAGGGTAGGATTTCGTCATCATCTGAATCTAAATCATCATCATAACGTGTTTCGTTCCAGGTCGCACTCATCTCTCCAATGGTGATGAAGGCCCCAGAATCAGAAGTGCTCTTGAAGATGTTCTCACTATATTTGCAAGTGAGTTCCTCTGTGGTTTTTCTATTCCTAACATATGATGACCTCACAGGACGCTTTGTTCTGCGATGTTGCGAATGCGGAGCTGGCTGGTCTCTACTGCAACATAAAAGAGGAAGATTTCGGGCTGCTACTGGAAGTGAGTAGTAGTTATTGCGTTGACAGGAAGAGCGTGCAATATTTTGTGAAGGACTTGTCCTTAATCTGAAAAGGCGTGACCGATACCGTGAACAATAATCTAAGTTGTTAATTCTCCTGTACTACAAAAACCAGTCACTTGTTTTCCATTGTTTTGCAATAGGGACAATAATCTGTTACCGGATCGTCGGTATCTGCGCCCTTGATTATTGTTCTTCTACCACTCTGACTCAAGCATGAGGCAATGTGATGGGAGAAAGCCCCAGCCGAGACTAATGAAGGAGCTGCATGAGGAGTACGCCTACGTTACCGGACAGCCCACTAATGCTTAAAAGTCGAAAGTCACAACCTGAAGTCAATTTTGGGTCAACATGTCTATATGAATTCGAGTTGAGGGATACGGAAGTGTAGATAGATTGTGGAACTTGTGGATAGATTCACGGCCGCTCTTCAAACAATGCAGCCCCGGAGAGGAGAGCCGGAGCGAATAGTCACTTGAAGACACATGGCACGATCACACATAGTTTGGGTTTGCGTGACTGTCAGCACCCCCCCCCCCCCAGCCTCGTCAAAGCGTAGCCTGTTTCCCGGCTTAACATGCGCAGCAATGCAGATACAGAACCGCGTGAAACGCTCCATTCCATGGTAACACTCGGCGTGTGCACAGACGTGCAGCTTTCTTGGCTCCCGTCGTGTGAACGCGTGCAGCTTTCTTGGGCAGAACTTAAAAGCAACTGTGCTGCTTTGGCAACATCCCCAGAGGCCGCAATTCCCACAAAACATGGGCAATAAAAACGGCGCAAACGTTCCACTGTTAGATTAATACAAGCAAGACTCAATTTTCTGATGCGAATAACACTTGAGGGTGTTGCTCATGGTTCAAAGCCCGAGAGAGTGATGAAGATGGCAAAGACCTAGAAATGAAACAACGGAATGGAGATGTAAATAAAACAGAAATGAAATTGGAAACGCAAAGTCAAATTAAAATCGCGTATAAATTTCTGCTATACGGCGCGAATCCGGTTCCGAAGCCATAGAAATTATGGGTTGGCACATAAGTACCTTCGTTTTTTTTTCCAACCGGAATTTTTTATTCCCAAAGATGAAAAGCTTTGCTAGCAAGCTTGATATCATCTGATAGGAAACTTCACTTAGTTTTAGAATATCAAAACGGCTTTCGGTTGAGAGAATAATTTTTGTGGATTTTCTTAATCGTTGAAGTTGAAAGCGAAGTCGGTGAAAATTAGCACCTTCGACAACTGCCTCTATTTACAGTATAGCCGTAGTGCTAAAATCGCTTAAAGGCACAGTTCGCGACCGCAAATTGCGGAAACGGAATTCAAATAGGCACAAAAAAGTGCTAAGTAACTGATTAGCGGAGAAAAGCAGCAGAAAAAGCAGTCCTGAAATGTTATAGAGAAAGATAACATAGTGGCTACAAGCTAGTAGCTAGCAGCCGGTGAGGGTCGGCATGGGCCTAAGGGTGTCCATGGGCCTAAATTAAGTCAGCTTCTAGCTGAGTTCTTGTCGTTTTTCACATTTTGAATGTGGGCGCCAGCCTCAAAAACCGCATTCCCGGATCGTCCGACTACATTTGAGAGGTCATAGCCTTATTTTTTCGCGGACATGTGCCTTTAAGCTGCTCCATACATTTAGAAAAGGTCGAGCTAGAGGTTCCAGCAAGGGAATCTCACTAGACACTTCGGGATGAATTTCAAGAATTGAAGTTACCAAAACGCTTTACCTCGCCATATTGTGGCAGCTCACGTGCTGTCCACCTGAAATTTTATGCTAATAGTTGAAATGTTTTGCTCCACTAGGTTTTGCATATTGCTATAGCAAATTCCGTGGCTTTGATAACGCTGCTATAGAAAGATTCGTTCTCCACCAAGGTGTTTGCTTATTGTTAAGTTGCAGGTTTATGGAACGCGAAGTCGTTGAGAACTAGCGTTCGCCGGTTCTCCTCGCGAATTTTATGTAACATTTGAATGTTTCGCCTAATTGTTCTATATGTTCTGAGAGCCAATTTCGTGCTCCTAACAACATAACTATAAAAATCAGTTCTTCGGAGGCTGTTTCTTCCAGGTTATCTTTAAGTGAACGTGAGTCGATGAGAATTAGAGTTTCCCGTTGATTCCTACTCTCTCAACCGCGCTCCACTCTGAAGCTTCCACAGCTCCTAGAGCAGCTCAATAGAATCGCCATGGTTTGAGTAAGAGAGAACAGATAAGTGTTAGGACAGCTCATACATAATTTCTCGAGCAGCATCAGCAGCTTTGATACTCTGTGAAAGCGAAAAGGAGGAGATGTCTGAAGTGCGCGATGCTTATTGACCACTGACCTTCCATATTATCCACTCAAAAAGGTTCATTCAACGGATTTTCAAAGTAACTGCAACGCAGTTATTATAGAGCAACTTAATTGCTATCAACAACATATAGAACAATTAGCGAAATCTTTCTTTAAATGTTAGCATAAAATCTTGTGGAGCAATCGGAACGCTAGTTCAAACGACTTCGCGTTCTCGTAATCATAAACTGACATTAACAGAAAGCAAACACCCTCTGGAGAAACAAAATTTTTATGCAGTGTTAATAGAGCACGATAATTTGCTATCAGAACGAATGCAAAACATATCAGCCAACAATTCAAATAATTAGACATAAAATTTCCTGGTGGAACAGACGGTGAGCTTGCCCAGATATCCGGCGAGGTAAAGGTATGGTAACTTCACTTCCTTGAAATCCATCCGAAGTGTCGCTAGTGAGATTCCCTTGCTGGAAGCCTCTAGCTCGACCTTTCTAAGTGTAATGGACAGGCTAAAGGCACATTCCGCGAAAAAATAGGCCAGTGACCTGCTCAAATGGTGTCGGACGATCCGGAATGCGGTTTCTTGAGGCGCGCGCTACATTCAAAATGTGAAAAACGACAAGGACCGTCCCTGAAGACGCTGACTAATTAGGCCCATGACACCCCTTTAGGCCCATGCGACCCTCACGGCTGCTAGCTACTAGACATGGGTAGAGCCACTATGTTATCTTTTCTCTATAACAGTTTTCAGACCTGCCTTTTTCTGGCTGGCTTTCTCTCGCTAATCAGTTACTTACACTTTTTTGTGCACTATTCTGAATTCGTTCACCGCAATTTGGGCGGTCGGCGAACTGTGCCTTTAAGGCGATTTTAGCACTAACGGCTAATTACTTAATAGAGGCAATTGTCGAAGGTGCTAATTTCAACCAAGACTTCGCTTTCAACTTCACAACGATTAAGAAATCCCAAAAAATTACCATTCTCTCAACGATAAGCCGTTTTGATATTTATAAACTCAGTGAAGTTTCCTATCAGCCGAGTATCAAGCTTGCTAGCAAAACTTTTCATCTTGGAACAAATTTCCGGTTGAAAAAAAACGAAAGTACTTATGTGCCAACTCAATACTTCAAACTAACGAGTGGCACGCTTAGGCCGTTTTTATTACCATGTTTTGTGGAGATGTGCAGCCTCGAGGGATATTGCAGGAGCAACAGTTGCTCTTAAGTTCTGGTCCTCGTCATCATCTTCGGCTCTTATTTTGCTAGCACCTCCGCATCGGGGAATTGCGTTTTACATGTATTTCGAAGCGCGATTAGAGGATTTGGCAAGAAGCCAAGAGAGCTAGCTACACGCGTAAGCGCGCACACGACGGATGTTACCATGAATGAGAGTTGCGCCGCAGAAAGGTATTGTGCGGAGTATGGGGGAATTACCATGTTCCAACTGTCCTGTATCTGCATTGCTGCGCATGTTAGGCCAGAGAAACCGCTACTCTTTGACAGCTGGGGGACTGATAGTCACGCACACCCAAACTATGTGTCCATGTGTCTTTGAAAGGGAAGCATGGTTTAGATGATCCCTTCCTCAGCTCATAATGAGCAAGGAAAGCCTCGCCGATTGAGTCCACGTGAAATCGAGTTTTGCTTTGTCTGTGACAATCGGCATTACCGAGCGGACGGGTCCACAATGTCTCTGCGTGTTAGCCTCAGATTCCAGTGCCAGGACGATTACAATGGTAGATACGATTGTTTCTATACCTGTCTGTCTACAGAAACATATCTTGGCAAATATAACGACATTGTGCTACCAACTTTGTACAGCATGTTCCCTGCTTATGCTGACGCTTGTCAAGTCACGCAGCGTTCAGATTTGTCGCGCTTGCACGCACGTCGATTGTCGTGCCCCAGTTGTCGCTGTCGCTTGTAAATGAACACGCTACAGTCACAAGAGCGCTCCAATAGTATCAGACTCCAGCTTTCCCTTATGTTCTTCCTTCCGGTGAGCAACCCTTTTTCACTGCTCATTTCTACGCGATTCTTAGCTGCTCTTTTCACTTTGACACTGAATTCTAATGTGGTTTTTGACGTTTTTGACGACGTATCAAAATTGTGAATTTGACGTTTTGGACTATGCGTTTATTGAAAGGGTTACAAAATCATTACCACAGTGTCCTTTGTGAAGTACATATCAAAATTCAATGTTAAAGAGAAGCTGAGAATCAGGTAGAAATGAAAGACAGTGAAAAAAAGGATTGAATACCGGAAGAACATAAAGGGAGGCTGGAGTCTCGCCAATTGGAGCACTTGTAATTGTAGCGTGTTTAGGCTTAACGGGCGTTTTCGAGATCGACAATCAATACGCGTTCACGCGCGACAATCGATGCGCGTTCAAGCGCGACAAGTCTGAACGCAGCCTCAGAGGGACTGGTGCTGCTCCCAGCAATCAGTGCTCTTGAATTACTATATTGACAATTGCCAGAAAACATGAAAATGTAGCAGAGTTGCATGAAGTCAAGAGTACACATCCACGTTGTCATAGCTTACGGTCATTATCCCTGCAAACGAGGAGACGAGCACTGGAGCTCAGCCAGGAGTTGTTATTCGAGCAAACGAGAAATCATGGATTAAGGGTTGGGGGGAGTGGTCCCCTCCCACCAAAGGTGCCATCCTGAGCCAGCAACAGTCTACGGATGAGGCTACCCTAATTCCCCTCCATTTCTCCTCCGTCCCAGTCTGGTGCTCCTTTTTACGAACAGTGACTGTAGATTCATAATTCAGGTGTGGGGTTACGACGAAAAACAACCACAACTTGTTGAGCATGCTATTAAGCGAATGATAGGCTTCAAACCGGGTGAGTCACTCCGAAACCCCTTATTTGACTAGACCTTTTTGATTATCACTTGCCAATCGCACGGAAATGCTTCGAAATGTGCAAATAATCTGCCAAAATGATCTAGAATTTTGATGGAATTCCAGATCCTCGCTTGCAGATCCTCTCCGTTTTGACGCGACAATAGACAATATAAAGCGTAGCCTTGAGAATATCGCCCTCTCGGAACCTGTTTCGCTGTCGGAATACTATGTTTTGCAACTACTAAAAGATCGGTGCTGGACCAACAAGCAGCTGCTCGCCGTATGCGAAGGAAAGCGTATTTCTCCGAAATTCCAGATATTCTTGTGCT